CAAAGGAGAACATTGATTTGAATGTATGATGCAGATGCTGAATTGGTGAAAAAAAAACATTGTCAAACACGTCGCGACACCCAGGATATCCTCAGGTTATTCAAAGCTGAATGCTACCAGGTCCCTCCTCCGGTTGTGGATAGGGGGATACCTTCACCGAAGAAGGTTACCTGTGAATAAATTGTCGCATACCGCAACAAATAAGCAGTCGCGAACAACACAGCTGCGGCACTACCAGGGTGGGGTTGGTTTCAGGTTGGTCATCTGGCTCCTGTTTAAAGGCCGCACAACCCCAACGACGGTGTCGTGAAAAAGGTCGATGTGACTGACCTTTTAAAATTAAAGTCATTGACAGCCGCACTTCCGAGTCGAGGGATTACTTCCGGATACCTTGCAGTTGGCACTTGGTTGTGCAAAGGCTAGAGGTGCGCCGACAAAATACAAAACACCGATTGACGCTGGGGACGTCTCTCATACTAAACTCCCAAGTAACTTCATATCTTTTAAGGTGGTACTCGGAGACATTCATGGAGCCGGTTTATCCTTTCTGAGGAGCCAACCGTAGTAGGAAATAGTCGCGGCACCCACACTCCCTTAGTCACATCTTATTTCACAGATCGGTTTTGTGAGTTTCGAAATGATTGCGTCGGTTTTTATTCTCACCGACTGATTCCCTATCATTCCATATCCACATCATTCTTTTGCAGTTCCTGATTCGTACATTTGTGCTCCCGTTCAGTCGCACCCCATGGGAAGGAGCTCAGACCACCCTGTTCTGTGCCTTGTCACCGAAACTGAGTCCTGGCGGTTATTATCGAAATTGTTCACTGGCCCAGCCGAACAAGCAGGCTTTGGATGATACAATCTGTGAGTGTGTTTGGGGTGTCTCGGAGAAACTGGTCGTGGATTCGTGATACACAACCGAGGGAAGATGAGCCTGCGTGCGTGCGTGCGTGCGTGCGTGCGCGCGCGCACACACACGTCCACATTTCGCTAAATCGATCATCTCCTTTGCATTTTCGTCTCCTCTTATCCCCACCCGTCTTATCCGACCTTGTGCTTTTATACAAACCAAACGATCATGAGTGCATGCAATTCACCTGATACCTTCCTCTATTCTGCTGATTTGTCCTGATGGTCTCAGCTCACTGCCCCCCCCCAC